GAACAGTTGTTTTTCGCAGTTAGTATGTATTTTGTTACGCTATTCATAAATCGTTTACAAAGAGACTGTACGGGTGCACAGTTCCCTGGGCGTGTCTATTAATCGATAACACCGAGGTTTTCCTGCCGTGGATAGGGAAAGCAATAAGATTTTGCGAAGGAAATACGTGAAAATGTTTTACCCAGTTACACAGTTGCATGAATTAACATACGAATCAAGTCTCCTCCTACTTGCATGATATTCTTTGATCTTTTGGTTTGTCTTCGTTAGGCCATTGTTGGCGCCATTCTATCGCAAATTTGCCTTCATTTAGGTCAAGTAGCTCTTTTTGACAAAGAGAAGTTACTGAAAATTATTATACTATAAAGAAGCCAAAATGCCCCTGTCAATTTTTGCATGGTCGTGACAACACTTTTGGGACAATCTTGTTCTAGACGTTAAGGTAAAACAGCTACATTGAGAATTTGCAATGGAGGCTCAGAAGTACGAAAATCTTTTGTTTTTAGGAGTAACTTTGGTCACATGTCTACATAGATGGTAACCTATTCGCTGTAATGGTTATTTCTAAGACCAAGAGCTGCCTTTGAGTTGCTGAGCTTTTAGCCAATAAGATACGAGCTAAGAATTTTAACCTCTTGGTCTTCATGTAAAGGGATGTAACTTTTTAGGAAATTAGAAACTAACCAAAGATCAACCTGATATACGTTTATGACTTGAAAGTATGTTTAAAAAAAGTAGAATATTCTTTTTTGCGTACAACGGTAGGGTTTGTGATTAAATTAGCCTGGCGATCTATGAAGTTTAAATATCGCATATCATTAAGTGATTTATCGTTAACTTTTCTTGTATTTGAAAATTACTGCTTTTCGGTGCTAAGGGCCCGATGATCGCATTAAGCGTGAAACTCGGGGTAGCAACTTGAACCGTGCTATTCTATACATCAAAAGCCTTTCGTGTATGTATCATTTCTTCAAATAATCCATTGCTTTACGTTGGCATTACATCAACGTGCCGACAGAACGAATGCATTTGATATCGGTATCATTTTTCAGACCGGGATTGTTCTCATATCTATCATTATTACAACTAATCTTATGGCAGCAGACTAAATCAAGTAACGAAGAAGAATCATTTTGATTTTCACAGCTGCAATGAATCTCCCATGGTTAATGTCTGGGTCACCTTCAAATTCTACAATACCATCAAAAAATCAATTCTGGCAGCCTTTCAATCATGTAGCGCGTACATTTTTCCAAAAAATGCCAACCTCAAGCTTTATTATCCTGTTTCTGATACTTTTCGATGCTTACAGCAAGAGATTTTCTTAAATATTGAATTTCTAGGTGCAACAAACCATCGTTTCCAAAATAGTGAAATACACTTTTAATGTCAGCATTCAAACCAAAGATTTTGATAAGCTAAATTGTTGTAAACAACCAAAAATTTGCAAAGGGCCTGAGCTATAAGTAGAGCCTGCTCTTTTAGGAACAACGGCCCATGTCATTTTACACTTAATGCTCACAGGTTTATCTCTTACAAACTATCAAAGTGGGCGATACCCCTTTCAGGACCGTTGAAGTTTTTGCTTAAAGCAGTAAACTATTGTCATATTTTTATATTAACAGATTCACGCTCTTATAACGATTTTCACGCTCTCATACCATATAGTATTACGTGGACTTCTAAGAACATTTATGAATTCGTCCATGATCAATGCCACTCTTTTGATATTTATTTGCACCGTTAGTGGAAATAATTATTTTCTGATTTTTTTCAAGTGACGAAAATACTTCCAGCTCTAGAAAATATTCTAAAGCATCCTTTTTTTGTAAAAAGAACTTCCCATCATCTTTCTTGAGAAATGGGATAAAAAACTATCAAAAATACAAATCTAATCTCGCACTGCAATATGTTTCTTCTGAATCTTGTTTTGTTACGTGTTATTCATATTTATGGCTGCGGAGCATTCATGGTATCTTGCACTCCGTGTTGTCGTCTTTGTAGTGTAGTCAAGTAGACTCTGCGTAGTATAGTGAGTAGCTTGTAACTGTAAAATTTTATGTTGGATATGAACAAAATAATCACCGATTTGATTTAAATTGAAGCACATGGGTCAAAAACGGCCATAAACATTAATTTCGATAAGAATAAAATACATTTAAAAATTATTAAAAATTGCTATACAAAGAAGACTGAAATATAGATGGACCTATCTATAGTTACCACATTTTTTTATCACCAATGTTCGTTGGCAAAAAGTCTGAAAGGAGATTTTTTCGATCTTTCTACCCATTTGAAAGATGATTGAGAATAAAAAACATTGACGTTGTTACACTAATGTGGACATTGGCATCTTGGAAAGGAAATCATTCTCCTAGTGCTTCATGAACTGTATCTGAATAATCAAAATTAATTTTTACGAATTTGATTCCCTTTTCTTATCCCTCAAGATGGAGAAATTAGGACGAAATGATTTACCTATAAAATCACCCTTGCAGCTAGCAAGTAAACAAATGTTATCTCACAGCTTAAAGGCAAGAAAATTCTAAGAAGAGCGTTCTATTGCGATTGTATTGATGTTGAGCGTAGCTGTTGATACAAAATCATCCTCTGAAAGAAATTAGACTATATAATTATATTTTTGATATACGTAGTATCTCAACTTTTATGTTTTCGTTTGTTGTGTCTTCAAAATGAAAATAGAGCAAAAATTTGTATCTCACAAAATTATAACGTCATTTTGTGAATGTCAGAAGTAAGTAGTTAGATTTTTGGAAATAGTAAAGAAACTCTACGATTGTTTCCAAAACCAATAAATTTCTTCTCATCTATCTCCAAAATAGAATTGGTAGAGATACTTAGAGAATAAAAACCTTCAGAAGTTATCTTTTTTTCAAAAATCCAATGGTGCGATAGAGGCATGGTCAGACCTGCTTTTTCTCATTTTACATCGAGTAACAATACTTTAAGCTTTGGTGTATTGCTGTTATAACCAATTTTCTCGAGATCCATGACACAGAAGCAGCAAAAAAAACAGATTCTAACTACAAGCATTTATGAACGCATTGACGCGATTTTTCTTTGAATGCTTAGCTTGTAGATAATTTTTTAAAGTGCAAGTTGTCTAGGTTCTAAAGATCGCAAATTTTAGAAGTCATTAGAAGCTATGTATACTCAAACAAGTATTTTCTGCTCGAAGCCCATCGAAACCTTTCTAAGTATAGCAAAATGACCGGATAATATGCGAAATAATGCCTATTTGTGGCACAAATAGTGACCATCCAAGTGAAGAATTGCCTTTTTGTGATCTCGTTTATGTAGAGAGATGCCGAGATAAGCAAAGGCACGTGTGAGTTCCAAGGACAGGCATAAAAGATAAGTACGCAAATTACTAGAAAAGTTACTTTTGATTAACGGAGCCAGCAATCTTCAAGTTTACCTGTGAGCCAAATGATTGATGAACAAAGTGCAACTAATTTCAGACTTTTTGCTCAAAATATAACTCGGTAAGTAGAACCCTAACCCTTGGTCTGAAACAATAGTTACATTCATTAAGGATTTCTTGCGAGCAAATAAGTGTTTATCTTTTGGGATATATGCTAAAATAAATATAGCAAAAGGTGAACTTTGCCTTACAAAGATTTCCAAACCCCAAAACCCAAAGCCAATACAAAGTAGTTGCCGCATTGCTAGAAAAGCTAAGAATGCGTTTCATTTCATTACAATCATACTGTAGCAAAATATGAGAGAATATGAAAGCAATGTGTTTGATTGGAGATCATGATTACTTCGCATGAACTGAATCTGGTTTCCAACTTGCTGGAAAAAACAAATGTGATGCTATGATCGATCACTGATGCATTAAAGCAATTATACTGAGGCTTATTCACAAAATTTGCAGCTTGTCTATCAAACAAATCAATCATATGCGAGTAGAAATCAGATAGAGTTGTGTCTTTAAGAGATACCATGATTGATAGTACATCCTTTGAAAATTGATCAGAGCATAATCATGACAGTGATCCAATCAATAGTTAATAATAGACCACGGAAATGGATTAGTTTGTTTAGTTTGCACCTAGTTTGTTTTTATTCAACTAATTGGAGCAATACCTTCTTAGACAGGTTGTACGTCTAACGCCGTTCAGCAAAGAGGAGCTGCCTTTAGAAATCCCAATAATACTTGTAGGTAATAGATTTATTAGAATAGTGCAGGCGATAAAAATGCTGAACACGAGCTTTAAAAATAGAAATTAAAGGTCTTTTCTTCAAGCAGCAACGCGGAAACAAGCCCGAGTAATGGATGGACAGAACCTAAATTTGGCTTTTTGGCTAACTTAGCTTCATATCGCTCAAAGATGCTACCCTGGTTAGAAATTTTCAATGAGGGAAATATTTACCTTTCCAAAAAAAGGAAAGATATGCTTACGTTGTGTAAGAGTGCTCTCTGCTGGTTGTCACCCAGTACTAAACCTGATTTGTGCCTTGTAACCATCAACACGCAGATTCTAAGATCTTTTACTGTGACTGGCGGTTAGAGCCCGATGTGTTTTCACTGCTGTTAACCACATGACGTTCGCTGCTTAATGTCCACCAAAAAGGTGACAACTTTTACAGGCAACAAATGGAACATAATTCAATACTTCCTAGATATATTTCGCAGCAATTACAACTTTTGGCATTTACTATTTCTTCCTCGCAATGCTTGTCTATGTTTAATGTAAAATTGACTCTAAATCAAAGGAAACATTTCGTTGTTTCAAGTTGAGTCGGAGGTCTTCAAATTTCACGAGGAATAAAGAACAAAAAGGAAAAAAAGGAATTGATAAAATCTTAAATGATAAAAGTATGATCGTCATATCCCTCTTCATGAAGGGAGTGCTATCGAAGGTGTGGAAAATTTTGAATGTGACGAAATTCAAAGCGCGCGATTGTACTGTTAAAATGCTGGTTAACATTGGAGGTATTACTCAAGGCAGAATAGCATAGAAACTACTTACCACTGCCTGCTGAAAAATGCTTCAAGTCGAAAATGCAATTCTGTTCGTCTTTGCTATCGATTGCAAATTTTCCTAGAACGAGCTGCAATACTGCTGGCCAATACTGCTGGCAAAGATACCAATAGGTATTACGTTTGTTGCTGCTAAACTCTGAATAAGCTCTATAAGAACCCTTCTGCTCTTCTTTTTGAATTATGCGATGACAAATTCAAGAGTGTGATTATATATCAGATCAACTGTCAATGGACATCTCAATATCCACGTGATACTGAGGCTGATAGTTCTGTATCTAGGAAAATTCTACGGTCGTTCGGGACTCTCCGTAGGAGGTTATCGTTATGATGTTGTTGTTAAGTGCTAACCAGAAACATTGCTTCGCACTCAGGTATGGGTCCTCCTTTTCTCTTCTAATCTTTTTCTTGTTTCGCCTTTCAGGTGGCTACCCCAAGCTTTCTTCCGAAAATAATTGCAATTAAAGATTTCATTAGTATATTTATAACTGTTTCCGGAGACCGATAAATTGGCTGTCACGCATATTGCCCATCTAACTCCCTGTGTTAACGCTGGGTTCCTGAACTCTACAGGAGGCCTAACAAGAATGGAATGTTTGGTCTATATAACTCCAGGAGATGAGGGGTCATCTGATTTTCTTTGTTTTATAAAAACCTGCCCAGCCTCAAAGTAACCTAGGCAGAGCGCTTCGGCCACGAGGGGAAGGATTGATAAGGTGTTGCAATCTGCAGGCTTTTAATAAAGCTAAAAAGAGATTACAAATGAAAGTTTTACATATAATGACACTACTTGATGAGTAAAATTTTCAAACCGTTTTAATCCCTTGTAATCTAGGCTTATTTTTCTAAGATAATGCTTTTGAAGATGGCTTGTGTATGACTTTGATTTGACATTCCAATAATGATATTTATCAACAAGGGTGGATTGAAGCAAATGCTACCACAAAATTAGAGATCGCCATAAATAAAGATTAAGAGTTGTGAATTGTAAGCATTTGAAATCTAGTATATTGTAAAACGTCTGAAGCTTTAAGAAAAAAACTTGTTTTGACCAGATTACAAGTGAAAATTCTTTGTCAAATTTTTTAGAGCAATGGGGCACCTTTTTTACATAGAAGAAGAAATGAAAGAGAAAGTCATTAATCCAATCATGACATTGCATGCTTCATCTACAGCAAGAACGTTATGTCTTCTTTCCTCGTTTCTTGCCAGAGCATGGTAACGATGCCTGACGGTATGTTGCCTTGTGCAAGCATCATCGTTGTGCATACGTTTCAAAAAAGGAAACTAATGAAGGCAACAAATCTAAGAGATTTAACAGGTATATGGTACTCTTCAATTTTACCTCTAGTTCATAATTTTTTAATAGATATGAAAAATAAATTTAACATGCCATACAGTCATCAATATTTTTATCTTATTGGTAATGATTCGTAGGATGTCGTTTAGAATTCTGTTGCAAATATTTTTTATATTTAAAAATGGTCAATCTTATTTTGAAACACAGAAAATTTCTTGAAAAAGTTTTTATTTTTCTCATCAGAATAAATGGATGAATACATTAGGACTGCATTAATTGTTGTAAAAGGTGAGAGAGACCTGCATTTTTAAGATTATGCTATCGCGTAAAAATGTTTTTCCAGATTTGCTAATAACCCAAGAAAGAGGTTCAGAGGCATTCCTAGCTTTTGGATATCACGGCATCCATTGCTGAACATGCTAAGCATAAAAGCAAGTGAGATCCTAAAAGTTCTCGAGACTCGATGCCCTTATTCTAAAATCGATCTTCTCTGAAGACAACCTCTGCTAAAGATTCTTGGGTAGAATAGACTGCTATTAAAAATCAACGTAATGCTCCTTCAAAGTAGTAAGGGAAATATCAAATATGGCGACAAATTACCACGTCATTCAGGCTTGAATATTTTTAGATAGGACACTTTGTTGCCTTTTTTCTTGTAATTTTTATTTTTTCCAATTCGAAAACTTTTTATTTAACTGATATTAGTTCAGTTTTACACCTAACTTTAGCTTTTTTACACTATAAGAATCCATATTTCATTATGGAGAGATACAAGGCATTAGTGAGTTTTTCAACTAACTATGGATGAATGATAACTGCAATGCAGAATCTGAAATGTTCATGCACAATTTATGATTCATATGAAGATTTTGATAGAGTTTAAATCAATTTCCTATCTTTAATTATTCAAGGCTCTTAAATAAGAGATTTGCGTTATCGACCAGGCTAAGAATTTTGATCATTAACTTTTGGCCCTCTCTAAATTAGCATATGCTACAAAGATTTGAGTATTCATTTATACATCAATCTCAAAGTATCCAACAGGGATCGTGATAATGCATTGCAGCCCTGTGGCCTTAACACGGAACATTATAGATTAACATGTTACAGGATAATTTGAATATTTCGTGTCACTACAATGATTGCCCTCTGGTGATAAACGGCTAGCTAGCGGTTTTTTAATTCAATGTCTGATCATACTAGCGGGGTATCCTGATTGATCCCTGTTAATGCAAAATACCCTGTGAGCTGATATGTTTTCATGCAGATTCCCCTCCCCCATCTCAGTGTCCAGCAACCTGACTCGACCTATTTTCATTGCTCCCTGCGGAGGCCCTTTAACTGATACTTTCCATAGTTACAAGCTGGTCGTTTTGGATGTATTTCAGTTTTATAGCTTACATCTGGAGATTTATTTCCAAAATAACCAATAAACCTCAGCTTTTAGTTAGCTGGTCAATATAGAAGAGGTCAATATAAGCTGGTCAATATAAAAATTAACTCAGTCCTCAAATTTTTGAAACACTATTGATTGTAATTAGGTCTACTTTGTAGCTGAAAAGTGATGAAGTGAAAGACAACGAAAACAAACATCTTTGTTTTCACTGTAATGATTATTTGCTTATTGTTAAAACCAATTAAACGCCCCATTTTTAATCTAGCGTTATTAAGAACCACATCTGGATAAAAATTTTGAAGGCCCAAACTACTTGCCCGTACTTGAGCACTTTTAACTGGTGTGAAATGGCTGTATATTCTATCTACCATATGCGCTAGGAATGTTTTTCAAAGGAATAATTATCCTCAATTCATGACCAAAGAACTATATCACTTTTCCTGCCCCATAGTCATATCATTTAAGCACCAAAAAGCCATTATATCAAATGCTTAATGTTCTGAATGTATAATACTGTTTGCGGTGCTTCTTCAAGCCAAGTTCCTGCTTGTACTTTCAGCACTAGTAAAGCCAAGCATGTCGATTCACATATTTTCGTAAATTTGTTTAGAAAAACTATGAAAATGAGCAGAAGATCTCAGTTATGTCCATAAAAAATAATGGCAACAAAGGCTGGCAGGGCCGTCGTTGTAGACGGCGTGAGGGGTGTGACACCTCCTTGGTAAAAATTCCGTTGCAAAAACGAGGAGTTGTCTGCCATCAAGGGGTGCATAGTCCTAGTCGGCAAATCTTCAAACTTGTCGGCAAGTAAAGGATAGCTCATCCACTTTGTTGGCAAATGGGACCAGGAAACCCTCCTTGTGCAACTTGTCTCGCCACTGGCCTGAAGGCTGGTTACTATTCCATAACACAATGTGTTCGAAAGCTATCATGGACATAATGTCGATGTAGATAAAGGCTTACAACAGGGTATGAGATCAACGTATTAAAGAAAGGACATTAGCAAAAATATAAATGTAATGGCAGAAATAGACATCATAAGAATATGAATGGTCAGGCTTAGATCTTCATTCATGGAGCCTTCTTCTACAGCTAAAAAAAGTATGGTATTTGCAAAATCTAGAATGATGAAATCACCACCCTTCCATTATGTGTGATTAGCTTAGCCAAGTTTATCCTTATAATTATTCATTCCATTTCTTTTGATTTACATACTATCCATCAAATGTGCCAGTGTGGTTAGCTTTAACTTGAGACGAACAACTAGCTGACTATTGCCACTTTGAAACGTATTTCACACTCCTTTTCCCCGTATTAGAATGTTGTTATTTCCATTCGGAAGACAAAAGAAGAAAAGAGCATTTCATGAAATAACAGATACACTACTGTATAACAAATCTTCTAAACTGACTAAATTTTCATTAACTTCCTAATTGCATTCTAGATAGATTTACGAAGGTAAATGTCTTATCATCTACCATTTACCATAAAAATGATTAGACTTATAACAGTGGAGCTAATCTTATTGTTCCAACCCATATAGATTTCAGGAACCTCCCTTGTTATTTACCACTTTCGTTTGTCGATAGATTACATTCAAAAGTGGGTATGATATCAGCAAACCTAGACTCAAAAACAGTCATGCTAAATATGATGATCTGAATGAGGGAACATCGGCTTTTAGGAAAAACACTAGTTATCTTAGAAATATAAGGTTTCATCGGCAAAGGAAAAGTGGAAACATAGGATGAAAAGTATTTCTGATTCCTTTCACCAAGGTTTGCATTTGGTAGTGAGATTAGGGCAGCAGTGTAGAGCCACAAAATGTAAAGGGGGCCATATAGCTTTCTTTTTATTGCTTACAAAATGAACGTTTCGGTTGTTTTGTTTTGGATAGCTCCCCAATATCAATTTCTTTACCTTTCCATTTTCTAGGGTTAAATCATCTTTCAATGTCTACATGTTACTTGAGAAGACAAATTTTAGAAATAAAGTAATTACAGTATTAAAATTTTGCCAGCATTTATTGAGTTTTCAGTTATTAAGACGGCTATTGAGGTCACACATGAATGCATAGGTAAAAAATAGTATAGGTTCAATCAAAGATTTGATCCTGGCAGAAATTAGCCATGAAACTTTAGAATTACCCACTAAAAGAAGAGACTGAGCCCCCTCCCCCTTTTCTACCTCCGTGGAATAGCCTAACTTAACTTGTTTATGAAAAGGGCTGGGAGCTGGGTCAAATAAGATCTTCTTTTGAAAACAAGTATCCTTCAAGTGTGTAAATAATACGCAGAAATACCTCAAAACGATGCGAAGCAAGCCAATATAATGTAATCAAATAAGTCTAATTTGAGCAACCAATATATCAAAATAGAATTTAAAAAAAACTAGTATATTCTAGTATATTCTAAAAACTATTAAATACTTCTGAATTCAAAGGTTCACAAGATACTTCATTTCGTCGCTGTGAGAACTCCTGTTTCCATCTCTATATAGGAGGAATTCAAGAAGACGACTTGTACACATAGTACATATCTTTCAAAAGTAGTAGGCCGTTATAAACTTTAGTTTTACTTTTCCTGTTCCGACCTCCAAAAAGTCTGAATTTTTGTTCTTTATTTATTCAAAAAGTTAGCGTTTATGTGAGTCAAGATATTCTTGAATGGCTTGCTCGACTCAATAAAGGATATCACAAATAGTTTAAAAAATGAAAAACGAAAGCCTCGAATCAGCCGTTTTGGAAAAAAAGAGAAGCAATGACAACAATACACTTAACTAATAAACAATCCAACCAATAGCGTTTCTGAATGGGAAGGAGGTCGCAAGAAAACGATCAGAGAGCTGTAATGCATTGCTAGAATTAATGGACAAAATTCCAATGAAAAGAATATTTGGAACCTTGGTCCTCTCTTCCCTTATTTTCGGCCCCTGTAAGGACACTGTGAAGTCTCATATCAGCTTTTTGGTATCTTTTATGACAGATGATATGCTTGTTTTTAACCAGTTAAATATTTCTTGACCAGGATAGGCCTCACCTATGATTTCATGTTTGTCTGGTTCTGCCTTCAAAGTTGCTGAGTTAAATGTACTCAATACCTTTTGCTTCAATGATTAGTTCGTATAATTTTGCTGGGTGCGAAGTTTTAATAATTTGGATAAAGCTCTATTAGATATTGAGAATTACGCAAACAGGGGCTCCAACGTAAGTTGTAATGAGGGGGGGGCAAGAGCAGATTGAAGACCAGAAAATTTGCAGAAATGCTCTAATATTTTGCAGAAAAATAGGGGGATTTGATTTGCAAAAAAATTAAACTTTGCACAGAAATTCAAAAGTGATGGTTTTATCAAAGATAAATAGATCACTACATTTACTGAGCTAGGTCTAGCATCAATACCTGTTTTGTGAAAAGAAGAGAAAACTTTTACTTGAGGTTTCCAAAATATATATTGTTTTAGTAACTGTAGTTATATATAATAGATTTCACTTCAAAATCTAAAACTGATAAAAAGCGTATTTCATTATATTGCTACCTAGCATACGAATGTACTTCTCGGACACTGAGAAGCGGTGCTATTCGAAATCCTTGGCACTCCTTTCGATGTAACCACACCTCTTGATTCCTTGTTAAAAAATGATTGTGTGTTGCTTGTTGAAAATATTAGCTATCTCGAGTTTCTACATCAGAATTCACCAAAATCATAATTGAAAAATTTTAAATTCCATGAACAGTCCAATGAACATCCTAGTACAATACAAGGCCAAACTTCAACTTGACTGGAAATGTGACATATATGTTAGACTAAGTGACAGTGACAGCCAAAGACCTTTATAGACAGGCGTGAGCTCAATAAGATGGCGCAGAGGAGTTTAATTGGCTGTTTGTAGTGGACCTTTTTTATCAATTTTTACTTTGGACTGAATTTCTCCACATACTATATGTCATTTTAACAAGTTGTGTAGATTACATTTAGATCTTGTGAAGGTAATATCCCAGCTGGCAACAACTTTGTCAAACGATGGCATCCTCAGACAAATGATTAAAAATATACAGTTTATGATATGTGGAACTTAATCTGAAAATACGGCTACCCGAGGATCACATTAAGCGTGAAATTTGGTGTTGGTCTAGTTCTGATCATCCTGTGCAGAGTTCTATACACCAAAGCTAATTTTAAGAAGACATAGAATGCCTCATACGGCCAGCGAAAACGGGTCATGTGATAATTTCAAGGATAATGTTTTCGCGTTCTTATAAGGGTTGGACGTCATACAGAAGTTCCCGGTCAGCGTTCGTTGCCATGGCTGGTTCGATTGATGGCCGTGTTTTTTTTCTTTCGCTCGTTTGACACAAAAAGTTTGTTCGCACAAAGTACATAACCTTGAAAAAGACAGATCTCCAGTTATTCGGGAAATCATTTAAAAATCACAAAATCTTTGCGTTAAGTTGTTTACACGTGCAATTATTTTTCAACTGTCTTTCACCTTATATGGGCATTTGAATTTCCGAATTCAAATATTCTTGAAAAAAGTCTTTAGGTTCACACCTCCATGAAAAAGTGACTAATCTCAAATCGAAGTATCCGGGGCAATAGCACCAATGCTTTTTTCTTTAATTTTTCTGCTTGAGCGACCGATAATGCAAATACCGTATATCCTCCAATGAACGCTGCCCCCTGATAAGTGCCGCCCTCTATTGAACGCCGCATCCAAAATTTGGATTTTGTAATAACGCCGTCGCGTTCTTTAGAGGAAATACGGTAGTAATTTGACGGTGCTATTCAAATTTTCTGCCAACAATATGGAAAACACCTCTAGGAGAAGGTATGGCACTTTTTTGCTATGTCATAATTTTCAGTACTGTTGTTGTATCATATCTAGACTATTGGCGAAGATAAAGAGTCATCCAATAAGGAAGCAATAAGGGTAGAGTCGAGTCTTAAATATTTGCAAAGCAGTTCAGAAGCAGACATGACATCATTAAACAGAAGCAACACATGTGTACAACTGACAGTAATTCTTGATGAAAAGCAGTCAATGAGACTACTTATCGCTTCTCACCAACAATTCGACTCAATTCGACTCAAAATAAGGCGTTCTCGATGACCTGACTTGTCAAAGAAGCTTTTTCATAGTCTCACGTAACTATTATTTCATCCCCAATTTTATCATGGAAAATGAGAATAATCTTCATTGACCAGCTCTTAAGCCATTGGGTTTGCATCAATGTCATGAGAAAGACAATATGAAATAACAAGGGTAGGTCATCTGAATAGCAACGAGTCAGGTCATACGAACAATTTTCAGTTGAGATATTCATAGTACCGTTATTTTGTGATCAATAACTTTTTTGATGAGAAAAATTGCAGAAGAGTAATCTTATTGTGTGATCCACTTGCTTTTCAGGAGACAGATCGCAGAAGATTCTCTGTAAAGCGCCAAACAATTTGTCGTTTTGATAGCGTAGCATAAAATTAAGTAAGAAAGGACAAAGAATAGAAGATTGTATGATAACATGACATACCATGACATAGCACTGCGTCAGATTGATGACACAGAACTTATAATGCATTTTATTAGAACCTTCAATAAAGCTCGCTAGTTTTGTAAGCAAACCCATGGAAAACCTGCATTTATCTGCATTTATTTGCCTTTATCCACTTAGTGCTATCGTCACCAGTCTATGAATAGGCCTTTCCAATGCTGGTTGGTACAATGCACCTCAAGGTCCTATCAATTTGACCCAGAAACTGCAAATTAATAGCAAATGACGGTGAAACGTTTGTAAGACAGGTGGCTTGCAATGGTTGCAATTTAAACTGTTTCTGAAGTAACAACAATGACGAGTAATAGCACTGTTGACTTAGCTTTGTTGTTTGGGAATAATCCGTTTAGTAGCGCACCATATTTCCCACGTGTGGTGCCGAGGTCAGACTAGAAGGCAACAGAAAGTCGTTTAGTTTTGCATATGCAAGGTTTGGATAAAGCAGGATTTGAAAAGCCATTGCAGCCCTAGGATAACAAAAATTCATGGCCATCTCTATCTGTAATTTCCTAACTCATAGTTAAGAAAACACATCCCTCATTTTTAAAAACGGAAACGATGTTTTTTTCTTTTTCATGGAACCACACAGAGAAGAATTCTTGCCATCAATAATTCTTGATTCTTGTGGTATTAAAGATATCTTGAGTCACATGGTTTTCTATAATGCTGCCAAAGTTTTTTAAATGAAGACTTTCTTATCAATGTGCGATGTTGAAAATTCTTTTTCATTTCAAAAGCACATGGCATCACAGCAGTAATATCTATTTTTGATTTTAAGAGAACCTTTTACAAGACTAAGCATGCAAAGTTGCAAAAGTTATAGCTGCTTCATGTTGTAGAAATCTTTCATTAAATGTTTAAGATAAAAAGCACTGTGAAAGAGTTGAAATATGTTCAATTGCAGGCAATGCCGTGTGTTGTTGAACAAGGATTGACTTTAGCTCCTCCTCTTGATCGTCAATAGGCAAGATTCAGTTTATATTTTTGCATAAATTTCTCGATTGCATTTTGGTTTTAAAGCAGACTTTCTCCTTTCAATTCTATAGCATGCTGTAAAACTTAGTCTGATTCTTAAAATTCTTTTCATGAAGGTGATCTCTGCATGAAATTTCATCTGCAAAGTTAATTTGTCAGACATCAAGAATAACGAATTATTTTTGAAAAAGTAACTTCCAGGCAATTTTGTCATTTTAATTGTTACACCATTCCATTATGAATGCATGGAATACCATAAAGTTATGCAGCTTGCAGATTCGTTCTCATATGCCAGCTTCATCAGAATCTGTGAAAAATGAGATGCTTTCTCATCTCAAGATCCCACAGTTCTATAATATAGTTTGCAAATAATATTTATCATTTTGAGAACTGTTTACTGAACGCTTATGCCTACCATATTTCACTGAAACTATTTCATTGAAAAGTTAATGCTATCTTCATGCTTGTGCCTTTCCCTTTTTAAATGGGTCTCCCCACAGCAATTCCAACATAAGAGGGAAAGGACTCGCTCCCTATAGTTTCTAGAAATACCCCCCGCTCTACGTTATCCATTATACGTCTTTCTAATTCATCACATCATTTACTTTTTGCAAAAATTGCAAATCTAGAATATTGAATTAAATTATATAAAGAAATTAAACCAGAGGTGAACCAAGATAGTTCCAAGGATCAAGACCACCGTACTGTTCAATAAGATATATAAATGTGTTGATTTGTATCCAAACATTTTTTCATTTTGTGGTCCCTCAATCTATGTCTCCATTTTGCAGGTAAAGGCGTTGCTGTGAAAAACTAAGTTTAAAAAGCAACAGCCACAGCATTCATTCAAAGGTGTGCTCATCCTCCAGCATTGAATGCAAGCATATTTCATCATGCTGCCTCGCTTAAAGATAAGAGAGCTAAAGGGCTGGAAATCTCACGAGTTTGTTATCGTAATGATGGCAACTACAACCTTGAAGGTCCATATCTAATCAAAAGACTTTATTTCCGTTTATAAGGAAGATGCTATCGAAAAGTGGGCTGGTAGTTCTTGGGCGTGTATATCAAATGATATTCAATTAAAGTAGATTAAGATTTTGATGAGTGAGATATGCTGCGACCTTATGTATTGAAGGGAAAGCTCTCTATCCAACATTTACTGAGACTTAATCTCAAAATCCTTCGCTCAGTGAAAAAACTGAAAACTTTCAAAAAAACTTCAATTGTCATGTTAAAAGAGATTCAAAGATACGTGAAATTTATTGAATTTACCTCTTATTGAATTTATGATAGATCATTTCAGCGAAAGAAGCTATAGGCTTACGCAGTGTACAGAAAAATTCTCAAGCTACTGTACAAATTCAGATGCATCCTAACTTGCTCATAAGTTTAGTTATTGTTATTATGATTTTTATTCTCTGGCAGGCAGGCAGTCATACATGATAAATCTCTCTGTGACTGAATATGTTCGTTAGGGGTTAAGCTCCCAGCATAAATTTCCTTTATGTATTATGTGGTTTGTGCTGTTAATGATGCAATGTTCACGAGCAATTGAAAAGCGGTTGTCGAGTTTGCGAGATTTTTTTGCATTTTACTTGAGATTTGCTTCTTATCGATGCATTGAAGCCTTTTTGTAAAGTCGTTATTATTGTTGTTTAAAACATCAATAATTCAAATGCTTTTGATGGAAAAAGCAGTTTTGCTTTTCTAGTGTTAACACTATAACAGTTAAGATGCTAAGATGGCATGTCTTTAGAGGTCTTGTGAAGGGTCAAGAAGCCTGTTATTGTTTTGGGTTGAATAAATTCCTTTAGTTAAAACCATTAGCGATCTCTCACAGCGATGTTGAATATAGATCTGCATAGATGCAAGTGTTTGATTTCCTGTCATTCCAAATCGCCAATGACACTATCTTCTCTTAAGGCGAACCATTTTATTACTTGATTGCTAGCTAAAACGATTAAAGGTCTCATGCTTAGTTATAAGGCCGTTTGAAAGCGAGCGTTTATCTATCCTCAACCAAGGTCCGCCCTCTCGATTCAGCCACTGGTGTAAGTGGATTAGCTCTGTCAATCGTACCCTGCAGCTTACCTTGACCATCCTTAGAGGGCAGTTGTTGTAACTAGAATAATTTCTATGACACTAAGAGAGGCTGATCAACAAGCAAGCCTCTTCGCATATCTGTTGTTTGTCATTGATATATCTGCCTCTCTCTCACGCAGCAGGAAGTAGCATATCAGTTTTCAGGTTTAGATATTCCAACCAGGCCAATACGAAAAGATCCACTGGGTTTCTTATGACTGCCTACAGCATGCAGAGTTGCCCTTTTCAATTCGCAGACATTATTGTTCAAAGGTTTAAAAATGCGTTTCCAAATTAATCTTCTAGGGCAGATACAAATGACGACAATGAAAAGCACAGCACTTTTCTTGTTTCTTGCATCCTCGATAAAATAGATAGCGTAAACTAACCAGCAGTAGGTAAAAACGAATATGTAAACATAAAACCTTTGAAAACTTAAGCTTGTTTAGAATTTCTTTTCATAAATCAGATGTAATTGAGTAAGCCTATCCAAATTAGCATGCGAAAGCTTGGAAATGAAAAAAGTCGATGTGTGAGGCACTTGACACCTTCCATTTGTCGATATGTGAGGTACTTGACACCTCGAAGCAAATCTTCATCATAAGCGTGCCTTCCTTGTTCTTTTTATCATGTGACCGTATTAGCATTGAATTTGTAGAGCAATGCATTTGCGTCTCCGAAGAGAGAGGGAGAACATTGGAAGAACATTTGGGAACAACAGGGCATGCGTGGTGAATTTTCAAATTCACATATCTGTGTTGCCCTTTTGCGGAGATTGTTGTCAAACATCAGCTCTCTTTAGCTCAGAAGGAGTGTAACATTAAACTAAAAGCTGTGCTTTGCTATTATGTTCTAACATACACTGCTCTATTTTATTTATAAGAAAACTGCTTTATAGAAAACTAGTACAAGGATGGCCAAAAATTCCAAAAACTTTTGTTCTAGGCTCAAGTAAAGGAAGAAACTGTCAAAATTCTACTTTATGAAAAAGAGTCCATAAGTTGTATTCTTTTGATTTCTTCTTTGGAAAAGATAGCATACTTTGAAATTTGATCGTGACGATCTCCTTTTATGTTTCTCTAAAAGAGCTCAATATCAAAACAATAAGGTAATTTTAGGTCCCGAAAATAAGAAACCAACTAAGAAACTTTTAGCAATTTTTTGCTGATCCAAGTTGATACGATAAAAACACTGACATTTATGAGAGAGAGCTGCCACGTCATCAACAAAGCACGTGTCAAGATATCTCGATCTTGATGTTTATGTTTGTTAATTTCTGTCGATTTCTTTTCTCATTAAGTTAAGAAGCAGATCTGATCCAGTCCTGCGAAGTTCCAGCCAAAGTATGTGCAATAATTAGTTACATAATTACCTAGGCACTGAAGAACCTAACAGCTCAATGATCTATATACCATGCAAATTTGTTGTTGTTGGCTAACTGCTCAATATAACTCAATCACAACTGCTGCAGCAAGAAGGTAGACAAAGTATTAAAAGCACTAACAGTTACTATAGAAATCTTTACAACGAAGTAACACCGCAACAGCCCTAAACAAGGCAGAGTTCGCTGAGATGGGACTCTGATATACTCTTTTACTTGCAACCAAACCTAACTAGTGATATCCTTATTGCCCGAGATACTTTTTCGCGTGTCGTTTGTACTTGGTGCGCCAGGTTCACATCAAGCCTTAACCTCCAAAGTGGTGGGAATTTTCTTGGGACAATGTTGTTTTCAAGAAATTCCTCTTCAATAGCATTAGGGGCAGCCAAAAGACTTTTTTCGGAGGGGCACAGAAGTTATTTTTGCCGGCATGAAAGGGTGTGTCTCACTCTTTAAGGGTGTGGTCATAAGATAAATAATCTTATATGCTGCTTTCATGCGTTTCTATTTTGAGATTCAAACTTTAGTGCCCTACTTTGAATGTTCAACTGCTACAGAAATGTTAATACGTTACAATTGCTGCAGAATAGTTAGAATTCTACAGTAAGTTGAGAAACAAATTTTCTTTCCTTGCCCGGCAAAAATCTGCTAATCTGACGGGTAAAATGTTAGGGAGTACAGTGCCCACCCATACCCCCTCTTTTTCAGACGTTCCTGCCTTTAGTACACGGTTTGGTACTATCTCTTGTAGTCCGGTGTGATCCATCGTCCACAGAATAGTAGTTTCTGTAATATTTGTGAAAATGGTACCTTCTGGTTTCAGTGGCTCTAAATGCTTTCTCTTTATAATCTATACCTCAGAAAGCAAGTTTTGAGCCAATAGGTTCAAGTTCAACTCTCTAAACTTGAATCAAGTAACAGTGCCGTCGGAACGAATTTCATTTTGGGGATGGGGGGGGGGGGTGGACAGCCTATTGTATTCTTTCTCATTCAATACACTGTTATAAAGGAAATATACTAAAGTTTGATAATTATTGGGGGAGGCTCTAGCCCCTCAGCCCCAAGCACCCCAGCCTCCTGGTTCCGAAGGGTCTGAGTTATAGACTCAAGTTCAACTCAATACATGACAAGCAGGTAGCAACAAAATACAAAACAATGCTAGATTCATTATAATTAATCAGGTTAAGGGCCAGAAAACACTAGGTGCCTTGAAAAGAAAGATATCTTTCTTCAGTTAGGAGGCTAATCAGGCAGGTCCGCCCTCTTTCATGCTGAAACTTATTTCCCAGTCAGCCAGTTATGGGAAAAAGTACCAGCAAAGATTAAAATATTCAAAATATTTTACAACAGTAGCTTGAAAAAATGGGAGACATTTTCTTACAGAGTAGCTGACAATGCGACAAGGGCCAAATCCAAAGAAATTTGAAACTACTCAAATACTCCTTGAACACTAACAGCTTCAAAAATGCAGAACAAGAAATTATTTATGCGAATTCACGCTATATTTGTCTAACAGAGGGGGATGAGCAAAGGCGGATTGGCAGGTCGAAACTTTTGACGAGAAGACACTGACAGTTACTTTATTTTAAATTATCTTCCCTTTGTATAGCAATATATTTCTAAACTACTTTCAAAAGATGCTACTAGGGAATTTCTACGTTATAAGATCTGACCTTTTTGATGAAAGCTTTGGGCTGCTTTAGGTATTTAAAACAACAAATGAATAACTTTTTAAAGCGTAGTACTTGTCAATGAAGTTAAATTGTTTCTCTCTAAAGTGCAAGCCAAGCTAACGTTCTGAGCGTTCTGGGGTGACGGGTGATGGATTGTTGGATGAGAAAACAAGTTAGCCAAACGATTCATTAAAATCATTTTTTGGCTTCTAAGAAGTGACGTATGTATTGATTAGATAACGAAATATGCAATACAGAGTCATTCATTTATTAAAGGCAAAAGATTTAATGTATTGCGCAAATGGTGCAAAAGGATAACATGAAGCTTTGTCAGAGTAGCCTGTGTTACAGAGAACCTTTAACTTTCAACAATGTTGGCTTATGCTAAATTAATGAAAAAGCCTGTGGAGTACCTTTTTCCCTGTGACTTGCTTTGTATATTTTTAAACTACTACCATTATTCTGGGGGAAAGGGGCAAAAGTAGTAGTAGTATTTAGAAAAGCAAGGAAAAGTATCATACACAAAATCACAACGCAGATAGCTTGGAGCTCCAAGGACTTTTGACATCAACTGAACGAATTCACTGAATTGCTGCTGGAGTAACTTTAGGTATAGAAAAGGTTGGAGGAAATAGAAGGGGATTGTAGCGATGTGGGACTAAAATATATTAAAAAAGAAAGGAATTAAGCAGCCACTGCTTCAGAAAAGGTAATGGTGAAAAATGAAATGATGAAAATTGATAAAGGAAGCAATGAATAAGCCACAGGAGGTGGAAACAAGGAATCGAGTAAAAGCAGTACAACGGGACACATGGCAATGTAAGAAGATAGGATAAAGCGCAGATGCTGTAAATAGAAGAAAATTTAGGACCAGAAAATCCAATCATTTAAAGCAATATTGGAAAATAGTTGAAGGCAAAGGAAGTAAGAAGCAGTAAAAAATAGAAGCAAGAAGTTGAAGCATATAACAATGTAAGGATATTGCTGAAAGCATAAGAAAAGTTGTGTAGAGTTGGAAAGTAGAAACAAGAAGACAAAACATATATAACAATGCTAACAGTAGGAGAAAGCACAGAGGATGGAAGGAAAAGGTCAAAGCAGAAAGTTGACGATGAAATATCGCAATGTAAGAAAATACAGGAAAGTTTTGGAGTTGGAAAAAAGACGAATAAAGCAAATGCAGGAAAAAGAAGCACATATTGCAATGCAAAAAAATAGGAGGCGACGTAGGTTATAAAAAGAAGAAGAAATTTAGGGCCACGAAGACAAAGCATATAAAACATTATAAGAATATGGTTGAAGGCACAGGCAATGAGAAGAAGAAATAAAATGAAGAAACAGGAAGGCAAAGCATATAAAGCAATGCAGGATGATAGTAAAAGGTGCAGATGGTGAAAGAAAGAAAGAGGAACCAGTAAGATGAAGCATATATAGCACTTCTTAAAGAAAGAAGCAGGAAGATGAAGCACGTATAGCAAAAGAAGATATTGATAAAGCAAAAGAAGATATTGATATAGCGAAAGAAGATATTGAAAGAGGTGAAAAATGGAAAAAAGAAAATGACGTAGAAGCATTGAACAATGACCTTCTATGCCACAAATATAAACAGATATTAATCCACTAGCTCAAAAGCTGTTATCAATAAAACTATTGAATAGAAGCAATTCATGTCACGGTTTTTAGAATGTATAAAATTGCCCAATGGTGCTCAATATACACATTCTTCAAAGCCTCAATTTTTCACGAAAATCCATAATTGCTTTGCGTGAACCTAGCGCTAACTAAAGCAACACTGTTATGCCGACCCCTGCTTCAACATCGCCAATTTTTTATTATCAATACCTTGCTGACGATTAAAAAATTCTGCTGCTAATTTGCCGGAATATCGAAAAATGCTTGACCATCTGAAGCATTTTTTTGTCTGCTTGATCGCAAATTTTGAAAAACCTTTCCATTTTTCGAAATTTTTTCTCACAAACAGAACTCTTTAGAATTTTCTATGACTAGGTAAAATGACAGGATAAGAAGAATGGATAAAATCTTTAATTCAAAAAGCAAATACTCGATTGGGAGTTATATATCTGGTGCTATATACTGAGTGTCTTACCGAGACGAAGCTTCAAGGCTCGTCTATAGTTCGAATACAGCTAAAGGATTTTACAATTTTATTCCGGGTTGCAGCCGCTGCAAATTGCGCTGCTGGGCAATTTAAATATATTTTTCAAACGGGTTGCTGTCTTGATTATGCGACAAGAAACAATTGGCCCAAGGATATATGTTTTGAAGACATCTCTAGCTTCAGCAACCACATTTTATGAGAATTTTGACTGCAGCTTTTGGGCTGCACGGTTTGCGGCTTGTCCCCCATAGCAGGATCCAAGTAAAAACCAATTTTTCAATTACACTCTATCTGATAGACAGACAAGCAATACATTGAATGTTATTTTAGTAAACTACAAATATATAAATGATTTACTACTCGAGAGGACCCTTCTTATCCTTATAAGAAATCTAATTACTCTTCATAAGACGCTCTTAATCAGGTTCTAGCTAAAAACAAAAAGTTTTGTATTATCTTCTTTTTTGCAAAACATTTGCTTAGCAATTCAACGTCAGTTGAACTACTGTACCATTTGTCGTGTTCACCGATCCCTGATTAGTCGATTTGCTTTCTTCGCAAGCAGGGTTTAGCAAACATTCGTCAAGGTTTAGAGGCATTTGACATGCATAAGCATAAGTAAAGCGAATTCAAAAATAACTAGATTGCAATGTTACGTCAACCGTAATCCGTCACCCAGTCCAAGCACTTGATTTATTTCAAGTTAGGTCACCGTTTTGGTAATTTTAGAACCGTATCTAATGTGGCAATCAGTTTCACTAAATCCAATAGATCTGAGGTACAGATAAATAGCCAAGGGATATATTTCTACAATATGCATGACCATCCTGCTTTTTGTAAGAAAACATAGATATGTATCGTATCAACCTTATAATTAATCTATTAATAATCATCATATCTTTGATCAGTTAATTTCTTACACTTCGGCAACATGGCAGTCAGAAATCTCATCACACAAGGGGGAAACATTGATGTTTAATAAAATATTTCCTTACGGCCACCAACCTAAGTACATCAAGTTGAGATCAGTACTCTGTTTGGCCACACCATGTATTTGGTCACAGATTAGTACGCTATTGAATTTTAGGAAGTATTTCGTGTTCTGTATCGGGGCAAAGTTAAGGGAGAAGGTTGGTAAAAATTCTACTTCTCAATGGATCCATGGATTAAGTTACTTATCAATGTCGCATAATTCTAACGGGCTGAGGACTGCTTCAATGATTATATTGCTACAAAAAAGCTGTTTTTTTAAGAATGGCTATGCTAATCTATAATATCGGTTGGAACCTATAAACCGAGAAGCACATGCATATATAACATGTATATTAATTATCTGGAGCAGTTGATTTAATCAGGCTTTCCTCGCGCTGTAAAATGCAGTCAAAAATTTGAGCATAACTTTTATATACTGTTAAGCTGTAATTACACGACGAGTTTTCCTTGACAAACTTTCTTTGAAAAGTTTATTTTGCTCGTGTAGATTGGGGTAGATTGAGGAAAAATGACAATATTTTACTTGACAAGTAGAAAATTGTCATATGCAAAACTTGCCCGTGTAGATGACTTGACAAGTAAACTTGATAAATTTGACTCATTTCCAGACCCTTCTTTCCGCGCAAGTAATTGCTTGTTTTTGGCTGTCATGGCCGCCACGAGGTTAATCTTGACCGATCAAGGAACGTCAATGCTCTTGGAAGCTCTGCAAAGCCGCGAAAGCCTTTGGAATACAAAGGCAAATATGTACACCAATGAAATATTATTGCCTGCTAAGATTTCCAATGAAATTTTCGAAGACTCCAAACGCAAAATTTTAACCGTTGGACTTACTGGAAAAAATTTTAAAGACTGTTTTGGTCTACGAGTCTCAGTTCTCCAATCACGTTTCCTGCTAATCCTTTGATCTGCCTGCGAAGATGGCTCGCCCAAGGCTGAACCCACCTTTTTCGCTGTCTTTTTTTCCTAGATTCATAGTACATTAATAGTGCTGCAGCTGTCCTACACATAAATAAAAGTTTCTTTTTTGTTAAAGGAGCCATTTTTGCAAGAAAATTTGGAGCAAAAATGATCCCCTGTCAGAAAACGAAGCTAACCTATAAACTGCGCTTGCCATAACGCAAATAGAAATTGTCAAAGAGATTACACGAAATGTGTAGAAATTTTTAAACAAAACTTGTTTATAATCTACACGGGCAAAGAAACTTGTCAAGGAAAATTGCCAAGGAAAAATTGCTCGTGTAAATAGGGCTTTAGTCTCTTGATCAAAGCCTCTTAAAGGGAAGACAGAAGGGAGCAATTGGCCCCAGGGCCACGAGGTCTTGGGGTGTCATAAGGTAATCAATTTTGTTTCAAGACGTGAATTAATAAATACTAAAAATGCATGCCTTAAAAAGAAAAACGCTTTAATAATTTCGAAAGATGACTGCATGAATTATTTTCATATGAATCTCTAGCTAATCTAAAAAGTATAATCGAAGAAAAATTTATGTGCTTTGCTCACAAGAGGCCTCATCTTTCTGTTAAGCGTCGGCGCCACTGAAACCTCGTTTACTTCATTAATTCTAAATTATTTATTCATTGTAACACCGTCAATCTAAGTAGATTGTTTTTCAGGGGCCGTTACTAAAACTTAGAAATAAACAATGCTTTATAACTACTTACAAATAATACACTGCTTAAATTAAGAAAAGAGTGGCACTACTCTTGATGCCTTTCACACTGAGCTTGGAGGAAATTCAAAAGCAACATTTCTAAAAGACGATTTTGCTATATATTTTTCCTTACTATTATTGTGAATGACATTCGCTTCCCGTGACATGTGGTATTCGTCCTTTCTGTCTTCTTTCTTCAACAAGTCAACAATGCCATTAATTAGGGACGCAAGCAAGGATGTACCAACGTAAAGCTGAAATGCAAGGAACAAATGAAGCGGTGATAGCGCAAATATATCAATAGTCAGATCACCGAATCCAATCGTCAGCATAGATACAATGGAGAAGTATATAGAATCAGTCATGGTCCATTTTTCACTTTTGAATATAGCTGCACCACACACAAAGATCCACAGAATACCCAAGATGATGGTCATTATTAGGAGCTTGGAAGATCTGTGTGCTACACTATTCCGATGCAGCATCCTTATTTCAATGACATATAGCAACTTTTTCAAAACGTAATTTATTGTTCTGCCAATCAAGTGACTAGTGTACAAGTGAACTGGTATTGCCAAAAATGCATAAACGCACAGGAAAAGTTTTCCAGCAATTGATTCTACAACAACATCGCCATATCCTACAAAGAACATAAAAGTTATTACAAATTTTGCTAAAATCTCAACAGGTACGATGATTTTGATAATTTATTTAAGATTTTCTAGTTTTAAAAGCTTTGTTTCATAGATTACATAAGTATACTAGATTGCGTGCTGTACAGTATAAATGAAAATAACTATGAATTTAAGTAAATTGTACTAGGAATAAATAAAAGATTATTAATTAACGGCGATTCGCGCAAAGTCCGTTATCAAGATAACAAACAATAATCAATAATCAATAATCAATAATCAATAATCAATAATCAATAATCAATAATCGTTAATCAATAATCAATATAATCAATAATCAATAATCTGTTATTTATTGCTGGCATAATTTACTTAAATTCATAGTTATTCTCCTTTTTATAGGTTTGCAAACAATATATTTCTGGTACAGAAATTAAAAATGGCTTTGAAAAAAGCAAACATTTTGAAACATGTTACTAAAGCTCTTCAGAGTTTATAATGTGAGCACATAGATCGAGAACTCTACGCTAGGAAATATATATTTTATAGGGCTGATAAGATTACCATGCTCCATTTCAACGAAAAAAATTCATCAACTATGATAGCATCTTGCAATTCTATATAGCTGCATCTTTATTGCACAGAAAAAAACTTAAAAATCATTGTTCAAAATCATTTAAAAATGAACCACAAAAAATAGTAATTTGCAAACGGTACAATCAGAGACGTAGGAACGAAGGGACACGAAAGGCACCGTATCACAAGCAATTGTTTGTAAGTGCCATCATGAGTGTCAATCAAGAGGAGTAAGATCCCTTTTTAGGTTGAAGTTTTTGTGTCACAGTATCTTTTATTCCAAAATTTCTTGACGAATGGTGACCATGACAAATGTCTTCCTAAATAAGTGCCCAAGCTACAAATATTTCAAGCCCTAAGCTATAATACGTCATATTCAAAATGCCTGTTTTATATAGAAAACAGAATAACAGAAGATCACAAAGAGAGTTCTAAAGCACTTGGATTTGATTAACTGGCTGCTGTATTGGACCAGGTTTACACGAAGGAGTTTTGTGAGTTCAGACTTTCCAAAGTGTCGATGTTGTTAGCTAACGTAGATGTTAAACACATTATTCTATGAGAAAAAGGTTTTCCTTTACTTTTGCAGTACTTCCGAATCTGAATTTTGAATTAGATGATCAAAGCAAGCATGGAAAGCGTAGAGCAACATAGTAACCAAAGTTTGCTAAGAATCTGGTTCATAGTACGCAAAATTGCAAACATAAGGAATGCCAGCAACCAAAAAATTGTTTTTTGGCGAAGAGAACGAGGCCAACGCCTTTTCAATCAATTTTCAGAGGCCTCTAAAAAGTTTTTTTGATCTATGTTCTGACGTTTTAAACTCTGAAGAGTGTCAGACGAAAAGCTTTACTTTACTCAAATGTTTTCTTTTTTCAAAGCCATTTTAAAAAGGTTTTTGCGCATAAAACGGTACAGGTGTACGGTTGAGTACATAAATGTAAGAAAGCATCACCTATTGTGGTAACTATTGTATATGCAAAGTAACACCATCGAATGAAAGTTCTTGTATTAATCTTTTTCTTCCACGTCGATGTATATTTAGCCGATTTGCTTGGTTCATACTCGTGTACGTATTTCTCAACTCTCGATATTATTTCATTGAATTGCATTTCGCTCAGTGTCTGATTGATCATTGCTTCTATATCAGTTTTCACCTGAGTTGCGTTTTGAGCAGGCTGGACTTCCTTGTAACGGTATTCAGTGTACATGAAAACTACAGCTCCAATATACAAGATTATGTTATCCAAGATAATAAATCCTAATACATGTCCAACTTGATTCATGCTGCTTTTTTAGCTTTATAACTTCTGTTTTATTACCCAATAAAGATTGAATGCCAGAGCTAGCTAGTGAGCAGAGCTAGCTAGCAACCAAGCTAGGCCACCTTTTCTTCTGCACATTTGTTGCTTTTGGCAAAAATCTTCGTCCTGAAATTTCTTCCAGATATCCTTTACATATCCTTCTCTGATCAAGGAAAACAGTCAGCTGGTGCTCCACTGTCACAATTTTAAACAAAACAGCTCTAGTTTTTATATTTGCCTAAAACATTATGTCAACTAAAACTTGCAGTTCTAGAGGATACAACATGCTACGTGAAGAGTTAACGATTCACAAGAATCTTATAAAATCATTCCTGTCTTAAAAAAAGCCATCATCTCTGGTATGTGTTTACATCATTTATTATTAAGCGGGCTATTTGTTAAACTATGTTTGGTCAGCCCATTCTTCTTCCTTATCAATTTCGTATTCAACCGTTTCAGGTGAAATCAATATGTACCAGTTAGGTTCAGAAGCTCTGGAACGTAGCTTATGAAAAGATGCTGGATTGTAGCAAAACATTGTCTATGGATAAGAAAAAGATTATTTCACGGTAAACAAGGACACTCAAACCATACAATTTTTATTGCTCGCTAACTTCTAAACACAGTCTGTCGTTTTAACTTCTAAACGCAGTCTGTTGTCTGTCGATTTGAAGACAATAATTATTCTTAATCTGGTCGGACTACTATCCGCACCCGAGTCGATTTTTCGTCCCAAATATCATATTCTTAATGGTGTATTAGGACGAGATACCATTTCCAGCTGTGTAACTATTATAGAAAAATATCTGAATACATATAGCATATAATCAGCCAAATGGTTAACCTCGGTAGGCCGTGTACAACAGAAAACAATCGTTTCTTGTCAAAAGTTGACTCAGACCAGATTTTCAAGCTATACCCTTGACATTAAGGCTCACTATCCTTCGATGATTTTCTGCTGCCATTCAATATGAAAGGGACAGGAATCGATGAAAAAAGGAATACTTAAACCCAGAATCTCATCAGGATACAACTGCCAATGATGAAAATGTTCGTGCTTTTAACCATAGACTATGTTTTAACAAGGCGTTTTAAGTGACAAGGACCTGCAATAGACAATTCTTAATCATGAAAACAATTGAAACCAACACGATTCTGCAGAAAAAACCACTTCAGCTCTGCGCTTTCTTTGATGATCCTCAGGAACAGGGGCGTAACTTGGCCAGTAGGTTTGGGGGGGTGAAAAGGGTTTCTGCCCTGCAAAACTGAGTGATGCCCTGCAGACCTCGTAGCAAAGGTTTGTCTATACTCTATAGGTTACTAGTGAAAGCTTCACCAGTGTATACTGGTCTTTACCAAGGAAAACCTCTTAGCAATTAAAACAAACTTAAAACTTCATTGCCTATGAAATATCTATTTCTCTACGTGAGCGTAAATTATATGTCAAATTTGATTTTCTTTGATAATAAAGCTTCTATCTCGTGGCATATGATTTTTTGGTGCAGTATATGGGCGAAGCAACGAAATTGAGCCCGGGGGGACTAAGAATCAAGTTTAGTGATATAGGAGGACCCACCATGGTTGGGTCCGACGTGAAGAAAATTTTTGAAATTATACCTTGTAATAGGGCTAAAAAGCATCTTTCAGACTAAAATTTAGCAAAATACTATTGTGCTAAAAAACTGATTATTGTTTATTGGGAAAAATAGGAAGGGGCATGTCATGCTAAAACTCTAGTGATAGACGTGGGGGAAGAAAAGAAACGTCAACCTTTCGTTTCAGACTGCACATAGTTGTGAATGACAGAGGAAGATGTTGTTTTGATTGGGAGAATTTTATTTCCTGAACAGAAATGTGCAGTTTCTTGTATCGAGAAGGCCATCCAAAATTAAAACATTGCAATGATACAGAAAGTTATTTACTGAATTAATGCGAATAAAAGAAAAATACTAAAAATATACATGAAAAAGTTAGTAATTAGATCAAACAAAATCGGCATCTTAACAGTTTACTCTCTTTTTATTTCATGCACTGTTAAAAATTAATAGAAAAAATGATAAAAAAAGTCTTATTTTGACCAAAGTGAGGGCCTTCAGCCCCCTATTCCCCCCAGTGACGCCGTGCCTGTCATGAAAATAATTTACAACTTAAATTAATTTATATGGACTCAACCTTGCCCTCATAAACATATGCATCAATCATTGCATCCATTGGCTATGACTTTCGGTAAGAAATGATTTCGCTTTGCAAATAACGGAGCTTTTCCTTACATACCTGTTCCGTTCTCTAAAATGCAATATCAGGAAGGTAGGTTCATAACAAATATGATATTTCCATTTCAAAATTCCTAAACGGCCCTTTACGAACTTCAGAGGTGACATTTCTGCGTGGGAACAAAGCTCTTCTTGGCGCCCTGCGAAATCTTCGATTGCCCTGCGAAATCGACTACTTTCAAGATTGGGGGGGGTGTCACACCCCCCCCCCCACACACACCCCCCCCCGGTATTTTCGCCCCTGCTCAGGAAGCTATATGTTGCAAATTCAAATAACTTCACCAAAAAACACAGTTATACTGAAAAAATAAATAGAAATAGAAATATATTTGACGACCTGTTAGGCATTTAAAAATTCTTATACTAGATTGCTAAGGTCAAGGTTTTGATAATGAAATGAGAATATGCCCGAAAGTTAAGATAATTTTTGACAAACGTGAATAATGCAAAGTGAATGGGGGAATAATCAGGTTAGTGGACTGAGCCTACAGTGCAAACAATATTGAATAAAAAGTAAATTAAAATTATAACTTATCTGGCGACTATGCCAAGCAGTCTAGGAAGGGGAGTTTTATTTGTATTCATTGCAGATTGAGAATTAAATTGACTCTTGGCAAATCAAAAAAATAAATTCAAGATAGATGGAATACCAATGGAAATAAGAATATTTTTTCTGATTCAAAGAACCTGAGTGGACTGAGTCTCCATACACTATCAATCTGAATTTGAATCTTTGTCCAATTGAAAACTTTTGCATCATAACAGGGTGATTTTCCAGACTTTGATGATATTTGAAAAGGGGCTTGAACATTTGCAACAGAAGGACTGCAAACTGTAAATTGGCATTTCACTTTTAAAAAAATGAGTTTGAATATGAGATAGTATATTTTACTAAATTTGAATTTATGTAAACAAAGAAATTTTTATTCAAGTACCTTTGAAATTTAGCCATAATAAATCGAAAGGTTACATAAAAAGCATTATCTCTAAGAGCTATTATCTTCTTCACCAAGCCTTTGTAGTTGGTCATTTTTAATTAGGCATGCTTTTTCATCTGTTCCTAGTGACTGTGTTTCAGGAAACGTGTGTCTGTAGAGAGGGTTTTTCAAGTACATTTTGTCTAGAAATGTAAACTGTTCATCGTTTCTCCCTGTGTCTAAACTAATTGCTCCATCTATTAAAATCCTTGCAGAATCTTCTTTTGCCATCTTAAGTGTTGAGATCATTGACGCAGCTGAACCATGATTCTTGCCATATTTCATTCTAGTAAGCTTTGATTCTGCAGAAAAATTGTAGCAGAATAACACATTACAGTATAATCATGGCCGTGCCATTACTAAAAAGCTATTTCTTTTCCGTAGAATTTGTCATTGTATGAAAAGTGGATGATGATCACTAATCATGTATTCGGCTACACCCTGGGATAAAGTTGTGTAAAACATTTTGGGTGAGAGATTTAGGTTAAATTTATCCTTTAGCATTAATAGAAATTAGATATAATGCATGATAAAACAATCCTTTAAAATATATTTTGTACACACTGTCGCGATACATACAATTTGCTGACCTAGATACTAAAGTTGAGTTTGGTGGTAGATACCCATATTGCTATTTTCACAAAAGGAAATTTTTCTACTCAAATGCAAACCTGGACTGAGAAGCATACTGTTATAGCGACAGCATATATTATTTTGAAGTTTGTCTTATCATTCCCTTCAAATTACTCAGATAAACTGACCAAATGGTTCACAAGAAAAGAATAGAAGAAAATAGGCATTGTTACAATCAACTGACAAGAAGTTTTGCATATTTTTATGGCTTTTAAAATGTTTGGCTTAAAAACATAACTTGTGAATATATGACCCAATAAAAACCACAGGCAAAGTTTACAATTGGCAAGTGATGGAATGCAACACTGTTTTGAAAGCTTTTCGTGAAGTAAATAAAAAATGATTATTTGGCACATAAGAGATATCTTATAATTAATTTCGCATTTTTATAGATCTACATCTCAAGACACCCTACGCACAAAAACACTCATAGAACAGACTTCAATTTCTACAGCAGTACATAACTTATATACATTATATGGTAACAACAATTCATTCACCATACACAAATAGCACTTCTGCAAATCATTATGTATCCCATTATATTCCATAACTTAACATGCTTACAAAAACTGCAGCATACAATTAGATCATTTCAGCCAAGCCTTTGGAAACTTCACTTACAGAATTTTTTGAAAATTAAAAATAAAAATCATCAAAAATCGTCATTTGGAAATAAAAATATTTGAAAACTCAAAACTTTGCTCGCATAGCAGCTATATTGAGATCCAAAAAATTGTGAAATTGGAATATACATCAACAAAATGCCGGTTTCTCCGTAGAATGATTGACCTCCCTCCTAGCAATAAATAGGATTTTCAAGACCCCGGCATCCGTTGTTATAAAAGAAAACAATAAATGAGGCCATTACTGTATGGAACCATTGACAACAACATTGACTTCTTACCCAGGGACTGTATATAATTTACTTTTGAAGCTTGAAACGTTAAATCAGTTTCCTGCACCTTGCCCTCCTCCATTATTTTGTTGGCAGATCTAGGAAAGATGTTGTTGTTGTTGTTGCGTAGTCATCCACTTTTGGTATGAACATAAACATACCTTCATACAAATATACAAACATAAAGTTATTTCAAATGCAATAAATGAAGTGAAAAATTTGAACAGAAAAGCTTACAAATACTTTCATTTCTGTGATTATTCAAATCTTTGAATTTAGATAAAATGGCATCCTTTGATAATTGTTGCTTTAATCTGTTAAGTACTGTTTTCATCCTTTGGATGTCTTATCTGACGCCAGTTGATAATTGTAACCCTGCTCTATGTCAGAGAAAGTTGGAAATTTTTCTAGCTATATTTTCTGCAAGCTGCTGGAGATAGAGCAAGTGAAAGAACTTAGAAACACGAGCACATGACTGTAAAGGTTGACCAATCAGTGCCGCTTGCCTATTAGAATGTTACCAGTGGAGTCCTAAGGTGAAAACGAACTCCTTTTGTCTACACAGTAGCGGTTTTTTCGTACTTGTGTAGATAGGCAAGCGGCACTGATTGGTCAACCTTTACAGTCATGTGCTCGTGTTTCTGATTGGCCTATTTCGATCCACAACTGGGTGTATATATTTCTTAGCGTAGAGTGAAAGAACTTACTTTTGCTGAACGATAACTGTTGTTTGACCTGGTTCATAAATGTGCAAGCCAAGACCAATTTATTGTGATTTGATGTATTCCATGAGAAAGTCTACCAGTACACAGAGTGCTATTTAAAGCATCAGTTCGACCTTTCATGGAATGAAGAAGACAAGACAAGGATTTATGGTCGATTGATTGACAGAGCTTTACGTCTTGTTTTTCCATGGGTAGTAAGGGTAGAACCTTTCTCTAGATGTGCAGTTTACTGATAATCAGTATCTTTTTGCTTTAATTATTGATATTTGACTTTAAATTTCTAGTCAGTACATTTGAATAGGCTCTTCAAAACAGTGGCCGTAATCATTGGGGTATGGGGGGCTCGCAGGAATTTTAAGCTAGTCTAAGGGGCGTAATTTCCAAATTTTACAAATTGAAAGAAGTAAAACAGCATACTCCTGACTGAGGCTATTCAAGGCAACCAACAGATACTAAAGGGGCTTATTAAGTCATCTGTCGATTGTCTTTAAAGTACATTCTATGTGTTACTGATTTAGCTCGCCTCAGCAAATGAGGGGAGCGATTTACAGCTCACCCATGAAAATACAAACAGCCAGGCCTGATATTTTGTTAAAAAAGCGAGTCCCCCACAGAAAATAATATCCCCACTCTAAAGAGCTGCTCTTTCTTGTTTGTTGAATTCATGTTTTGTCGTAATCTCAATGTTTGTGCGTCTTGGATTCCATGTTTTTTCTCTGATTGCCTAGCCCCCCTGTTGGAAGATCAAGCCCCTCTGTCAGAAAATTTCTAGCCCTACCACTGCTTATAGGCCAGAAACTAGAATCATTGCATAGTTTTTTCAAACTTATCTTGTCCTGGTGTCACGAATAAAGCTTTCTTTTTTATACAATTTGCATGTTTCCTAATCGGTTTTGTTAGTTGTTAAAGTAATAGTTATATCTGATACGGTGATCTATAATTTTGGGGACATTCAGGAACTTTTCAGTCAATGGACTGAATGCTTTTTGCTTGAGCCTTTGTGCTGTGAACATGTTGTGTCATTTAGGATGTGCCTTAGAAAGGTAAAAATATGATTTCATTTCCAAGCATGGTTTCTAACTGAGCTGTTTTGTATTGAGAACATATTTAAAGTTATATATTGAGAATTTATTTGAAATTATGTATTGAGAATATGTTGAAAATTTTAAATTATAAGCAAGCTTTTGTTCTCCAGCCATTGATGGTGATGGTTTAGGGGCAGACTGGCTAATTCTTTTGGCCCGGGCAAATTTTGATCAAACTGGCCCACCATAAGCATATGAAAAACTCCTCGGAAAATACAAGTAAACGTTAGTCTGTAAGGAAAACAAGTTTTTAAATTCAGTAATTTTGTGCATGGATAACTACAACTGACTGATGGGACACTTTTTCATTGTATTCATAGAATTCTAACACATGATGTACATGTAAGGGAACGCATTTTTAGTAAAATTAAAAACAAAGCAAAAGGGGAGCAAACAGAAAATTTTAGGCTTAGGCGTTTCAGCTATCAGAATATTTACCCTTCCCTCAACATTTTATCATCGGATTAAGATAAAGTGCAAAGTCAATCCATACGACACAGCCTCCTCCACGTCCCCCCTCCCCTTTTTGCATCGCGGTCATTAAACCCTGCTTCAACAGGCAGAAAGAATGAAGAACAAAGCGAAAACCATGTAGCAATCGGACAAGGTGGAAAAAATCACAGATGTTCAACAAAGTGTCAAAATCACAGTAAATTAGAATACTGAGATGTGTTATTGATACAATAAAAAGTGTGACATGCTTAAACTCGAGGGAAAGAAGCACGAGGCTTCAATTTTTAGGTTTATCTCGCCTAACTTCAATATTGTTCATGAATGAGTTAGATCTGAAAATCATCGCTTACTACTTCGTTCTGGTGAATTGGCAAAGACTTACTACCACTTTAGGAAATGAGATATTTGTATATATAATTGTTAGGCAATCAATACCACGTTTTACTTTAATTATCTGCCCTAACCGATATCCATGCAAATTTCATAGTTTATAGAAACTCTGATTCTTTTTACCCCTTTCAAAGCTACCAATCATTTTACGACGACAAGACATTACAAGGACGACAACATTGGTAGCAAAATAACATGACGCCCCAATGGCCCTTACATGACACAAAAATACTATGAGAACAACCTAAGCAATAAGATATATAAAAAACTACGGTGGCCCACAGGTGCCACGGCAAAACTTTCTTTCTCACGGCAAAACTTTCTTTCTCACGGCAAAACTTTCTTTCTCACGGCAAAACTTACTTTCTCACGGCAAAACTTTCTTTTTCACGGCAAAACTTTATTTCTCATGGCAAAACGTTACTTCTCACGGCAAAACTTTCTTTCTCACGGCAAAACTTTCTTTGAATTTAATTTATTCCTCAAATTTAATTTATTTTGAATATTTTATCTCGTGACATTGGATTCTCGTCGTCGTATTGCTTTGTTCCTGTTGCTTTTCTAACATAGGCGTAGAAGACAAGGGTCTGGGGAGATAAGGGGGCTGCAGCGGTAACTGTAGTTTCCCAACTTTGAAAAGTTTCCAAAAAGCGATAATCAGGAAGAAATCTACCATGAGTCAGTCAGGCAAAATTTTCATAAACAATGGATGTTGTTTGTTGGGCAACCACTTCGATTTTTTTCTCCCCTTATATTATGCCCATGCTTATTATTTCATTTCTTCATTCATTGTTATTACTATTATTCGAAAAATTAAGTACCTAGCCATCAACCCACCCTGTGAGCAATACGATATGATATTATATTAAACACAATACCCAATTTATAGGTTTTTTACAAGCCACAATCGAGCGTGCCAAGTGCACGTACGAGATTTTTTTGCACAAATTTTATGTGCACGCCAATTTTCAACGAATTGATCTTTTTCACTGCTTTCAAAACAAAGGAATCAAAGACCTTGCATGCGGTACTGTTTCGTTGAGATAGGCATATAGGCCTAGCCTAGCCCAACCTAGATAAATTTAGACCATTTCTGGGCTGTCTTTCTGCAAGAATTATCAAGAGAAGATGTAGGTATCGCAAATCTGCGAAGTTTAAAACGTCTAATGCATTGATTAGATCTAAGTATCACGTACACAACATCACGTAAAGAAAGTTTTGCCGTGAGAAAGAAAGTTTTGCCGTGAGAAAGAAAGTTTTGCCGTGAGAAAGAAAGTTTTGCCGTGAGAAAGTAAGTTTTGCCGTGAGAAAGAAAGTTTTGCCGTGAAAAAAGAAAGTTTTGCTGCGAAAAAAGAAAGTTTTGCCGTGGCACCTGTGGGCCACCGTAAAAAACACATGAGCAAGACATAACTACAAGCTGACCTACAAAAAAAGAAAGGGCTAAAAACAGAGGGTTGGTGAATGAGGACATTTGAGGGGTTAAATTGGTACCTCAATCCAGGCGTTTTGTTTCTATAATGAGCTTAGTGGTTAAGGTTAAGATTAATGCGTCCACTTCCAAAGGAAAATTTTCATCTCCCTATATAAGAAGCTGGGAAATATTTTTGTGTTACGGTACAGAACATCCGTCAGTTTTGAGCACATCATTAACACCAGCGTCGTACCTCACAGTCTTCTCTTTACGATTGCAATGCATCAAGGGGTGACTGTGTCATTGAAATCCTGTTTTAATTTGTGATTTTGCTCAGCCCAACCCTCAACTGAGTTTAATAGGCGATTCCCTTCGGATTCTAAATACCATATACGGATATTGCAGAGGGACTTATTAGTGCAAGTAATTTGTTTTTAAAAATCTGTTATGCATGTTCATTTTCAGTGTTTTGGGACCTGGAGCTTCTTGTTGGATCTTGGTGTTTGGCTGACGAATAATTGTGGATGTGGATTCCCGAAAACCTGGGTGCCAGAGCCATAGTGAAAGAGTGTGTCGGTAAAAGAGTGGGTCGGTGAAAGAGTGGGTCGGTGAAAGAGTGTGTCAGTGAAAGAGAGGGACCACAGTTCGGCCACCTCTTTCACTCTCTTTCACTAAAGGCTCTGGTACCCATGGTACCGACAATCATACAGTTGTAAACTGAAGACGACTAAAGAGAGACGGCAATTTTTTTGATTTACTTTTAAAAAACTCATAACTTTTGCCTTAGCTGTTAAGATATTTAAAATGCACTTTTTATCTTGTCTTTGTTTCCTCATAACTTCTTACAGTGGACAAGAGTTAAATGAAGCTACTACTTAAGTAGTTGTTGCCGCCAAAGGGAAATTTTTTTATTATCTATTGCTTCAAATTCACCCAAAGTTGCATTCTTTGAAGCAAATTTTGATAACCAGATTTTATTATTGAATTGAATATCCACTGGGAAAAAGCGACGGTTTTGATCGATTTCATCCTTGTTTTACCTTACGTAAAGGCAACATAACTGCATAAATTTTCAAATCTGGGACAAAATTTTCAAAAATCTGATGATAGGCATAAATTGGCTAGAAAGGGAATTTTTAACAACAATCGAGCAAAGTGCCTAACCTTAGTTTTTGCTCTTGATTTGAGTACTTTCAGCCTTGCTGAATATTTTAAGCCTTGGATACATTTTGGTAACACAACAGAAATCACATGATTGATGACGTCATTTTCCCCCGCAATCAAAATTTTTAATTCGCTTTTTTGAAAAATCGCTCCAACCATCTTCTTTGTCATTGTAATAGGTTCTGCATTTTTCAAGCACGTGGAATTCAAAGGCTGGTGCTCGTAATTTAGGTTTACTTTATCTCGATTTCGAAGTTTTTTAACCTTCGTGTTATTCAGCAACTCGAGAATG